ACTTCATAAATGGTCATGTTGGAGCCCAGGTCATTCTGCCATTGCCCAGTCAGCTTACACTGGAGAGGAAAGAATTCAGCACTTGTGCCACAGCACAGCCTGCAGCCACAGCCCCCTGCCCACCCCACCCTGTACAACCCACCCCTGATGGTACCTGCTGTGTAGCCTGGAGACCGTGAGCCCCTAGGGCCAGGAAGAGCATGAGGAGAAAGGGAGTTGCTTGCACCATCTCTGCAGCAGGCAGGCAGCTGATGGACCTGGGGATGTGCTCCTTGCTGCTCTCTGCTGATGCTCCTGCTCCCTCTCCTTTTTATTGGTGCCAGATGGGTGTGTGGCAGCTCTGGGCAGGACGTTGTGCAATATAGGTGTTCCCAAATGTATCAGCTATCAGAGGGGCTGGTGACAGCTGATATTCCCAGAATGCCTTTGTTCCAAGATAAATGCAGGTGGACAGCCCAGGTGACAACCTCCAGTATTGTGGTGCCACAGTACCCCTCCAGTGTCACTTTCATATTTTCGGGAAAATCCCTGTGCCCAGGATTTTTCTGCTGGGAATCTGAGAAACCTCAGAGAAAAAGAAACCCAATAATTATCTGATTTTTTACTCGTCCGTTTGGTTCCTTTGGAATGTGGTTGGGGATTGTTCACCAACAGGTGATGGTTACATTGGGTTTCTGGTATGAGTGGTTTTGACTGATTTGTCAATCAGTGCCAAGGTGTGTCGAGGCTGTGGAAAGAGTCACGAGTTTCAGTATTATCTCTTTAGCATCTGTAAGGATTCTTTCTGTATTCTTTAATAAAGTTTAGTGTACTATTCTTTCGTACAATATAGTATCATAAAATAATAAATTAGCCTTCTAAGAGCATGGAGTCAGATTTATCATTCCTTCCTGCCATGAGGGTCACCACAAATACAAGAAGTGGTGAGTCCAGATGTTAGCTGCAGCCTGGACCTGAAGAACCAAGACCCTGAAATCAGGAGGAGTTCACAGCCCAGGCTCAACACACGAGGATCTGTTGAATCCTCTCGGGAAGTATCCGGAGACCCTTTGTGGAGCCACGGGACAGCCTCTAGGACACCGTGAATCCTGAGCAGCCTGCTGACACTGGACACTGTTCCAAGGTTCTGCTAGCTCTTCTGTGGAAATCCTTAAAATCAGAAGGTTTTGGGAAAGCTGCAAAAGGCAGCCCTCAGAGAGAGCAGGACTGTGATTAAAGCTAAGCAGTAGCCATAAGATAGGTCAGCAGTAATGCGGGCTTGGCCGGGTTTCGGCGTATCCCCGGCGGGCTGCCACGGGTCCGGATAGCGCAGTCCTGTTCAGCACAGCCTGTCCGAATTCCCAAGCAGCTCCCAGCCCACAGGCGACCTTCACAAGCTCAGCTCTTAAGTGACATCAGCTCTTTAGTGATTATCAGCTCATTTATGATTTCAGCTCTTTTGCTTGCTAAGTTCCTTAGGCAGACAAAGGGAGAGAGAGGGGAAGGCTGTATAAGATTCCACAGAGATGTCTTTTTTGAAGTCATCTGTGAAGGTTCTCAGGGACAGCTCTTCTGCCAAACTGGGCAAAAGTAGCTTCTTTACATAGGATAGAGGAGTTTTAGAAATTGTCCAAAAGCAGCGGTCAAGAAGAAAGTGACCTTTAATTTTAGAGAGAGATAAGGAAGGGTCCGACGGAGGAAGAGGGGCTTCTTAGGTCCAGTCATCATCACTAGGCATTTCTGTCTTAGGCTGCTGAACTCCAGGGAGGCATTGCAGGCCCTGTGCCAGCTACATATCCTCGTCTGTTGAAGCTTCCGGATAGTGGATGGTTGGAAGCAGGGTGGGATGTGTATGACAAGAAGGGGGGAAACCCGGTAACTGGTGGAACGAGTGAAAAAGAACAGCTGAAATGTGGTGGGTGGGTTGCATAAAAGACAACAGCACGGACCCCTGGCTTGGCGCGACACATGAGATTAAGGGATTTTTAAAGGCTCAAAAGCACTTGAAAGTCACCAAGTTGAGAGTCACAGTGATAAAGTGATACTGAAAATGACCATTTAGCAGAAAATGGCGCTCAGAGGTGGCAGGGGACAGTGGATAGCAGGAGGGCTGCCGGCAGTGGCTTTTGCCGAAAGAATGGAGTTTCCAGGCCAGGGGCACGGTGCTGAGGTTGTGCGTGGCGCTGTTGGCGGTCAGAGACTGACTGGAGTGTGAGGTCCCCTGCAGCTCCTCTGTGGGAGCCGACTGTGGGATTGGGACGCCACAGGGGTGATGGTGCCTGGAGGAGGTGGGCGTGCTGCCGGCAGCAGCTCTAGCCAAGTAAGCGGGGTTTCCAGGCTGGGGACTGTGCAGGCCCACATGGGCGGTAGTGAGCCAAGAGCGTCTGGCGCTGTGGCTTTCAACAGTTCTGACCAAACTGAGGGTGACCACGGCCTCCAGACCCACTGGAGCTCAGGGCTGCTTTTGCAAAGGCTGCACTGAAGGACCAAAGAGTTTGGGGACATGGGACCACTGGCCCCGAGTGCCTTTGAACTTGATGCTGCCGGCGATGGAGGAATTAGGCCATGGAGCAGCAGGTCTGGGCTGCTGGCAACTGGACATCCGCTTAGATGCAGTGCCACAAGAGTAGCAGGCAGGCTCAGATGTGTGCAAATCACAGCAGCCACAAGCCTGACATCAGTGCCATGGGATGTGTTACTAGTCCCCAAGCAGCAGGTCTTGTTGAATCCCAAAGCTGAGGGAGAGGCAGGACATGTCACAAATCATTGTAATCGTGCCACCACAGCCCGCAGC